CCGGGCTGCTGCCGCACGGCCCCGGGCGGTGAGGGGTGTCTGGGGAGCCCAAAGCTCCCAGTGGCAGCGGAGCCTGCTGATCGTGCTGCTCTCCTGGAGCCTTGCTTAGGCTTCCTGCTCCGGGAAGCTTTCCATGAGCGTAGCGCAGAAGCCTAACTGCGACCTTATCTTCTCTTAGCCTCCAGTTAGGCGGGTAAAGCTCTGAGAGCAGGACACCAGCAAGCACCAAGACACAACTCCCTCCTCCTCCATCCTCAGCCAACATCCATCCACAGGGTTGTACAAACATGCATCGATATGCTGCAGGAAAACCACAACAGTGTTCCCAGAGGAGGAGTTTGCATCATCAGAGCTGAAGAGTCCCTTGGGAACACTGAGGTGATGCTGCAGTGCCCACTGACCCCAGGAACTCCTGCTGTGCCCAGGGGACCTTTCTGCTGAGCCATCACATTGTGCTCTTCACCTATTCCCAGGCAACACACTCCCAGCCCAGCAGGACACCCACTGGGTCCCTGCCCTTGGAGCCAATTTCAGTGGCCAAAACCGTGCTGTGTAAGCAGTTCCACACTGCCACAGACTCCAGCAAAAACAGACTTCAAGGAGCAGTGGCATCGACACTTAAAGCTCCTTGTAAAGCAAAACACTGAGCAGTGCCCGAGTTTTGAATGTATTCAAAACTCCCATAAAACACTCCTTGCACCTGGGAATGAGTGGGGTTTGGTGCTCTGGTGTTGGGATGCACACCTGGACACCTGCCCATGGCCTCACAGCTCCAGCATTTCACACCCACAGGGTGCATTTGGAGAAGAGCTCTGCTCATGCCATGTTGGCTTTCTACACAGGGATACATGCAAGGATCAAGCACCTTTCCCAAAGCTCCAAAGCTGGAGCTTAGGGAGTCCTCTGCCTGCCTTATGGGGCACCAGCCAGAGTGTGTCCAAGAAGCTCACCTGTGTGGTCTCCTGCCCTGCACCACTCCTCCTCCCCATACCAGCTGCCTCTGGTTGCAGGTCTAAAAGCATAAAGCACTGAGAGAGTCCTGCGCTTCCTCAGGCACTTGGGAGCTGGAGAGACATGATTTGTGCCCGGCTTGTTTCTTTAAAGGCCTGAAAAGCCTCCAAGAGTCATAAAAGAGGCACACCACTGCTTCTTCCTGACTTTTCAAAATTAGAAACATCAGGTTGGCTTACTGATACTCCCTCCATGTCCAGAGGAGCTGGGGGCTTCCCCAGCCCTGTTAGAGGGATGGCAGGAAAGCAAACACAAGATATTTGTCTTATACCAACAGAAATGCTGGCAGAGGGTCTCTCACCGGCAGAGGGCCATCCCCAGGATTTACAGCAGTAAACCCCACTCCCTAAGGACTGATGTGCTTTTTTAGCTTCCTCTGTGGTACCAATACGTACAGAATTCCTGGGGGTGGCACTGGGGATCTTTAATTCTCTCCTCCACAGACACACGTGGTCGGTGCACACAGCTGGAAGCGACCAGTCCCCAGGCAGCTGCAGTGCACGGGGAGCCAGCCCAGCTCTGGGGCATGTGCAGCCTCTCTTCCCACTCCTGCTCCAGGCATCCAGGAGTGAGGTCTCCTGAATACAAATCAAAGTCCTTCACTCTTAAGAGCACCCTAAGACACAAACTGAAGAACTGTCTTCATCTGCTGTTCTGATGGAAGAGAAAGGCAAAAGGAACAAGATTTTCCCAAACCTTGTAAGGTAAGAATGCTCTCCTCAAACATGAAGGTAAAATGCTGGAATAAGCACCTCTCCTCTTGCTCTGTATCCAGCACAGCACCACAGACCTCCAGTGTTCTTAGCTCACAAAATGATACACACACACACGGACAAGTTATCAGAAAAGGCATTGTATTTTGGTTTCTGCCTTATTTAAAACTGATTTTGGTTTTCAGTGAATCAAATCTGAGTATGTCCGAGGTTGGTTTTCAGTGTTTTTTTTCCCCATAACAGTAATGATCTGGACGACCATAATTATAAAAGGGACGGGGAGAAAACCCGAGAACACGATACAGTCTGAGGTGTGCTCTCTTCCACACGAGCACTCGAGGGAATGTTAGTTTCAGCTCTTCCTTTTTTTTTTTTCCTCTTTTTTTTCCTTCAGGTTGTTACTAACAAGATCTCTACTGTTTATTAAAGCAAAGCTACAGTAAATTTTCTTGCAGTCTTACAGCAGGTTTTCGTATTACCAGTAGGACTTGCATGCATGGATTGCAGTCACACACACACACACGCTCACAGACATTATACAGTAGCCAGTTGCCACCATAACAATAAAAAAGGAAAGAAAGAGAAAGAAAAGACATTCATTTCCTTAAGTGGTCAATATGAGAATCGCACCAAACTTGTGGAAAAAAAATAAAAATACTGCACAGGTCTTCCACATGTACATGATACGTCATCCCTTCTCAATGGACGGAGCTCTCGTCTCCATTTGTTCAACACGCACCGCTGAAGCTTGAAGGCACACTGGCCAAGGAGAGCCCTGTTCTTTGTTTGTCATCTTAACTCGAGTGTGCTGCCGTCAGGGTGCAAAAAAAGGGAAAAAATAAAGCCAAGCCCTTTTGCAGCACACCAGGAAAAGGTAATTCGGAGACCACAGTACTTGGAAGGCAGCCCAGCTGCCTGGATTCTACTGCTAACTGTGCTCTTGGAGGCATTGAAGGAACACACTTGTCTTCAAAAATGACATTTAAAGGCAAATTTCTGCAAACCCTTTCTTTCCAAACTGCTTACAGTAGACTAACTCCTTCTAGAAGAAACTGGTCCTTCAGTCACCAGCTTCAAGTGGGAAATTTCCTACCTGCTGTCTTAAACACTGAAGCACCAAAGATTATGGGGCTGATGTGTTCAGGCATTCATCAGCTTCAAGAAAACTTAACATTGGGGAAAAAAAAAAGAAAGGAAAAAAGAAAGAATGAAAAGAGATCCCCAATGCCTCAAGAGCACTTATCAAACCAGAACTCTTGGGCTACTGACTGCTGGCACTGTCAGAAGCTGCTTGCTTCTGGGAAGACACCTGGAGGTTGAAGCCTTTTGGTGATTTGGTATCCTCCCAGGGTGAGATTTGCTGAGTTTTACTGATTGCAAGATAAAGCAGTGTTTTGGAAAACTAAAACCAACAAACTCATAATAACCATCACCAAAATCACCATTGGAAAAATCCCATTTGTTAGAAGGTCTCATTGAGAAACACCAATCCCTGCCCCGCGGCGCGGGACAGACGTGATTAACAAAACCCAGAGTGACCCGTCCCCCACAAGCTGAGCCTTCGAGGACTAGTCCCCAAGTTACACTGGAGGGGGAGAAAGAAACATAAACCAAAAAAGAAGGTTGTATCACCTTTTCCTCCTGTTACAGTTTTAATCTTCTTATTCCATTTTTATTTCTTTGTGGTTTGTTTTCCCCCAGTTCTCCCTTCCACTCTGTCGCCTTAGCTGGGGGAGTTATTGGTACAAGAGTTTGGAGAGTCCTGCTCGTTTATTGTGTTCAAGAGCACACACACCGGCTGCCGGGGCAGGTGGTGGTGGCTGTGTTCGCGGTGCTGCTCCTCGGCGGCACTGAAGAGCCCTTCCTCTTCGTCCCCGTGGGGACGGCCGCTGCAGCTGTCGCAGAAGTCCAGGGGCCCGTCCAGCCCATCGTCGATGAGCCCGTCCAGCTCCTTGAGGTCATCGTCGTGGTGACCTCGGTTGCATATGCAGACCTCGATGCCCGAGTCGCCGGTGAAGCGGCGCTGCCTGCCCGGCGTCTTGTCCTTCGCGTCGGGAATGGCACCGCTCTGCTCCAAGCTCTCGGAGCTGTAACCTTTCAGCAGTTCCTCCTTACACTCCGTATCCTTGTCGGGGCCAGCCCTCTCCCCTTGCTCGGCTCCCGGACTGGTTCCGCCCGGCTCGGTGCTTTCCCGCTTGGC